ACATGATTACATCGTAACACATGAAAAAAATAACAAGACAGATGGCAATTCATGATCATAAGAGTTTGCCGGATAATCTATGCTTATTTGCCTTGCATAATTTATTAACTTCATAATACGTAAAGTTAACTATCATAAAACTATCATAAACTATCCGCTTAAGTATATCAGCATAGGTTACGCTCAGACCAGCAATACGTAATTTTTTAAAATGTTAGATCCAATAGTGCATGCATAAAATATAATATAGACCATATATGCATCCTTAAAAAGCTTAAAACAAATGTTTGATCTCATATTAATAAAACGGTTCAGCGTTATTTCTTTGATAAACTATTAATATATTCGCTTGCGAGATTTTTGTATGCCTCTTTTTTATCATTACTGAGGTTGCTCCATAATTTGGAAGTCAACATGCTAATCTCCTCATTATTCATATTACAAGGTACATTCCCAATTCTTCTAGAAACTTGCTTTCGAAAAATAACATATGGTGCCATTGGTTTAAGTGAATTTCTTTTATTTCTCTTATTGAATTGGTCTAGAAGGTCGGGATCAGGATCGGCAAGCAGTTGCTGGTAAGTCAACGGGATCTGAATATTGGATAAAAAATTTTGGATCTAATGGTAAAATGAAATTTAGATATCGTTATACTGAAAGCTATGTGCGGACTTTAAAGCAATGTTACCTCATTATCAATAGAATCGGCATTAACAAAATTAATAACATTAGTATTATAAATTTGGCGAATAGAGCCTGGTTCTGGATCAGCAAGTGGTTGCAGGTAATTCATCGTGGCCTGAGAGTATATTGAATCTAAATATTAAAATTGATATACTGAAATATATGTGTAGGCTTTAAAGCAATGTTACCTCATTATCAACATTGACAAATTTAATAAAATTGGTAACGTAATTTGGGGAGAGAAGGTTCGAATATGAGTCTTCCTTATGAATCAATCAAGTGGAAAATAAAGTTTATATTATTTTACTTTCTGATGCAACTATCGTTTGATATCGCTGAATAATCACCTTGATGAAATATTCTTCACAATTAGTGCGTTCAAATCGACATGGAACTTTATGTTTTCTACATTTCATGCATTTCTCGCGGTTCTTCATATAGGGTTCACATCTTTTCTTTTTACGGATGCAAAAACTACAAGACTTTCTGTTCCTTTTCATTTTTTGTTGAAGCTTAGTAAGAAAGAGGAGCGCAGACAATTGTTATAAAAAATTGTTTCTCAATACTTTTAATGGAAATTGCACAAGTACTGCATACGTGATACGAAGGTTTTGGGGTTGTCGCTCAAAACTATATAGAGATCGTTTCTCAATACGTTTAATGGAAATTGCACAAGTTACACATACTTGAAACGAAGGAC